TCATGAATCTGCCCCTTCTTTCTGGTAAACAGAATCCATTGCATTACTAGCCGGTTTGATCATGGGCTTTCTTTAGAGATAACTGTTTCTTCTTTCTAATTCTTTCTGGAAAAGATGTCACCAGCCCTCTGAAGCTTCATCGGACAGAGACTTTTCCCACCTACCGGTCTGAGCACTGACAGCAACTGCCAAGAGCTGTTAGCACATTTGTGCTGCTCCAACTGCAGACCTAGGCAGGAGGACACAGAGGGACAGCCAGGGACAGTGCGGAAGGAAGAAAAGCGGCTTTGCATCCTGCTAATGTGTGTAGCCATGGGAGATGCTGCGATACGACATATGTACATATATATTTTTTCCCTTCTGTTTTTCCTTTTTTTAAAGACACAGTCCTAGCCTCGACAAAATGTGCTGGATAATATTGACCCACCCCGTGTTTACAGCTGGACAGAAGGAGTCAGTGTCGTTGCTACAGACTGATTTTCTATTGTAGACCAGCCCCCCTCCCCTGCCCCCCCTGCACATCTCTGAGTCTGTCCTTTTGTGGATTTGTGCGATTTTCCTTGTAAATGTTTCAGTTGTATGACGGTCGATATTGACAATAAAATGCCTCTTCATTACTTGTTATGTCTTTACACACTACCCCTCAGTGACTAATGCTGTGACTTGGGTGCACCCATGAACTCATATTTGGTTATGTCTCCAAAGAGTTAAATCAACATTCTCACTCATACTTCTCACTGAAGAGTCCTTTCAAAGAGCCCTTTAATATCTTTTATAAGACGATAGCCACTCGTACTCCTCAGTGTCCTCACACCCTTCAAAAGCCCGTCTTCAGGGCAGAATATTGATTTAAGGCATTTAAAATAAGCAACCATTGCTCTCCATGTGGTCCTTGGATTCTGGTGACATTTTTCTTTGTCCTTGGTGTTTCTGGAGGGTGGGCACCCTGGGAATGGAGTTCTGCATGTGCTTGGTGCAAATCCAGCCATGGACACATTGGTCCGCTCATTCGTTAAGCTGGTCTGGGACCTGCTAGTCCCCAGTGCTCAGCTGGACTCTGGGGATATAAGCACAAGGACTCGGGTTCTGTTGCCAAGAACCTTAATTCCAGAGGAGGGCATCAAGGAAATAAAGATGCAATTACAGTGCCGAGTGACACCTGCTCAATGGGCCTCCAGAGGCGATGGGTCTCTAAAGAGAAGGTCATCCTGTTCTGGCTGTGCCACTGGGAAGACACCACAGGGGAAATGAATCTTGTGAGCATTTGAGGTTATGTTCCTGTGAGGCTGGATGAGCAAGCCAGGCACCTCTCCGCCCTTGTCCATGCTGTGTTCAATAGCAGCGGCCAGAGCAATACAAGGCTGGATTCCTAATTAAACTTGAACTTCAGGTAAGTAGGGCTTGTGGTTTGGTGATGGAAATGGGGTCCAAATACCCTATGGGGCAGAGTTACGTTTCACAGTGTCCGTCGTACAACTTAAATTCACATTGACCTTGATGGTCTGTGCGTTTCTTTGCTGAGTCTGAGAGCTACAATGTCCAGTCCTAGAGCTGAGCCTGGGTCGCAGCTTGCATCCCAGATAGATGTATGTCCGATGGACAGATGGAGCCAGAACCTTGGATTCACATGCTTGGGATGCGGTTCTTTCTATATGTGTGCTTCTCCACATTAGGACCTGTAATGGGGTCTTCCCGCCAGCCTGGTTCCAGAGCCACATCAGTCCCAAATAAACGCACAGGAATCTATATTAATTATGAAGCTGTTGGCCATTTGCTTGGTTTCTTACTGGCTATCTCTGACTTAAGTATCTACCCCATAATTGCTAATCTAAGTATTTTCTCTTACTGGAGAAAGGGGTCCGGACCTCTTATTCCTATGGCGGCTACATCATGATTCCCTGTGTTTCTCTTTCCCAGAATCCTCCTTGACTCCTAGTCCCACCTATCTTGCTTCCCTATTGGCCAACAGTGCTTTATTGACATATACACAGGACTTCCCCATCAAGGACCCCCTGAAATTATCACTTTTCATGGGAAAAAATAACTATCTAGAGTTTCAGAAAACCAAAAAAGCCTGTAGGGTCCCCCAGAAGAGCCTTAGACATCCCATTGTTGTTTGAGCCTTTCCAGAAGGGTTCAAAGGGGAGATGAACACTGATTATAACCCAGTGTCTTTGGCCTTGCTAAAAATCCAAGTCTGCTCAGCTAAACCTGCTGTGTGGGAGAGAGTTGGGGTCCCAATGACACTACTGGTCTGGACTTTTCTCAGGGGTTGAGAGATCTCAGGAGAAAGGATTGAGTTTAGCTAGCAATTAATGAATGGATCAGGGCCACATAGGTGGTGACTTGGTGTGCAGGCCTTCCCAGAATGCACCTGCATGCTCTCTGGCTTCCCCTCAGCCTTTTCCCTGTCCTCTTTGCTCTTCCTTCTGCCACAAGCATCCAAGCATCCATTTCCATCTCTTAAAAATGTGGTTTGCCATGCATGTCTCTCTTACTGCTCTTTTTTTTTTCTGGCTATACCTGGCTTTTCTTTTCTTTCCCTTGTCTCACAAGCAATTCTCCCAGACTCCCTTGGCCTTGGCAGACAATGAGGAGATTAGGTTGAGGAGCAGATAAAGGAAAGGGAATGAAAGAAATAATTATAATTTTAATGAAGTCGAAATTGCCAAAGCGAGTCTCCAGCTAATGATGTGCAGAGAAGTATCATTGAAGAGTTAGCTGCAAGCCAGGTCTCTTTGGAGATCTTTAGGGAAGGAGCTGTTGACAAGAAAGAGACTTCTCTTTGAGCACTCTGGCCCTGGCTCCCACTGGGAGCACTTTAGATCTTTTGTGTTGTTTGCTTCCTCCAGCAAGCAGATGAGGGAAGTAAGTTTTGTTAGCATCCCACTTGCCTGCTGGGCAGTCTCAAGCAATATCCATAGACTAACCCTATACCCATGATCACCCACCAACTAGGTAGGAGACTCACGTTAAGACTCAGACCACCAAATTCCCACACCTGTACTATAAGCCCCCAACACAGGCCACCTGGGGGTAGAGGCAACTCCCAGAAAGGATTAGAATATGGGCATTTCCCACTTTGTGCATTAGGCGGTCTCTGTTGTCCTCCCATTCAAAAGCAGGCATAGATGGATTGACATGACAGTTTCAATAAAGTTTTACTCATAAACACAAGGAGCAAGTCATCCATCCACGATGTGGCTGCCAACCTCTGCACCCCTTATAGATAACAGGAACCCAACACAATCTTTTATTAGTTTTAGATTTTCAGGCCATGTCATGAGGCTGTTAGTACTGTACTGTTTGCCCTTCAGTCACCGGAATGCTGGTTTGAAGTGAGTTTCGTTTTCTTATATCTTGCACCCCAGGGTGAATGTACAAGTGCAAATGGGGGTGCTGGGGGTAACACTAGACTTAAAAATAATGAAAACCGAATTCAAAGCCACACACCAGTGCTGCCAATAATCTGAAATCTGGCAACTAAACTATGGGATGCCTTGGTGTCTTAATTGTCCAGTGGGACAAGTGGCACAGGGGTTATTTGTTTGAGTGAGCTCTAGAGGACAGGAGGGTGAGCTGTTCTCCTCTGCACATGCAGACCGTTGTTGCAAAGATCTTTCATCCACTTGAAAGCAGAGGCCACAGACAATGAGGGGATGTCTTGTGCTTCTGGAATTCCATGGTGTGCTAAGTGTTAATTTAAACTCACCGGAGGGCATGCCAGCTTACACGCGCCGAGTTACACACACTGGGTTGCTATAAGTATTGTGAGCCTGAATTTAGAAGGGTAATTCATGGGCTCAAAGTATTTAAGTCCATTGTTCAGGAGAACAGGGAAAAAAATAACACCACTAAAAATAATGAACATTTATATGAAGGGATATTCTACTACTGGGGAACAACATTTCACTTTGAGAGGAAATATAGTGTGTGTGTGTGTGTGTGTGTGTGTGTGTGTGTGTGTGTGTGTGTGATATGAGTGTGGTTCATGAATCCACATGGTGAGGCCAGAACAGGGTGTCAGACGTCTCCTTCTATCTTTGTGACTTGACTGCCTTTGGATGGAGTCTCTCACTCCACCAGAAGCTGTTGGAAATCTACCAGCTCTGACCCCCAGTGCTGAGTTACAGCTACAAACGTCCACACCTCACTTTATCATATGTATCCTAGGGATTCAAACTCACATTTGTAGACCAAGCACTTCTGTCAACTGGACCATCTCCCCATCCCCAATGTTCCAAACTCCTAGAGAAATCTTCCCTTACTGCCAGAACACATACAGGTGTGTCTAGATCTTCATTACGTCATCACATTTATTTCCCTTTCCTACTGAGGTGCTGGGTTCCACAGATTGAATTCGGGGTGGCCGGTATGACTGTTAATGTTGACTCATTTCAATGTTGAACCATTCTACTCTGATTTGGTCCAACTGGCACAGGGCTGCCCAGGGAGCACTTAGCTGAATCTTAGAGAAAGTAAGGTGCTATTATTCACACTGTCTTCCTCTGTTGATAAGACCTTCATTCCATGGGTGGTGGTGGAGGCCAAATCTACACTTTGCCCTGCCATCTCTGGATAATCTCGGTGTACTTGGTCAATGTCATCAAATCCTACTCAAAGGAACCTGGATGGGTGACTGGAATAGAGTACCCACCAGCATCAGATTAAAATACTTGGCATCAGAGGCAACCAGCTAGGTGTTCCCATTCAAGATGCTCAAGGGGAATTATCTGGATGCACCAAGCTTGATTTGAGGACTCAAGGGGGAGCACCCAACCCCCGGGTTTTCTCTAGCTGTGAGCCCTGAGACTTCGAGCACCCAGGTACCATGATGACAATGTGTGCAGTTGCACACAGGCATGGAAGACGTGTTGTGACTGCAGCTCTCCAAGTGTCACCTGAGTGGCATTTTCAGTACCTCTGCAGTGTTTGCTTTGTTGCTATAACAACTAACAAGGAGACTCGGTTTGGCTTCCTTTGTTGCTCTGAGATGCCTGAAGTGCAAAGCCGCCCGCACTGCTCTTTTCTGAAGGAGAAAGCCCAGGAGAAGCTTCCGCAGTAAGCAGAGCCCAGCTGGGAAAGGCAGGGCTGGGAAGGAGGTGAGGATCCCATTGTTGCAAATGAAGGTGCTGAGCCACCACCAGTGATGAAGCCTGTGTGTCCCCCTCCCCTCCCCTGAACACAGCAGCCAGCGTTTGCCTTTGGTTCCTGGTGGTGCTGCCTCTCTTCCCTTCCCAGAGCAGGGGTAGCTCAGATCCACAGATACCACAGCACGGTACTTTTGTTGCACGTTTTGATAAACCTTGAAGTCCTATGGAGTTTTAATATTTGCATTGTTCACACTGGAAACCCTGCAGGGCCAAGGAGCCTGCTACATCACCTGGTTGGTTATTTATTTTCTCAATATTTACTCTCTAGGCCGGAAAAGGAGCACGGGTGAGGTGTGGAGGTTGTGAGGTCCAAGCTCAGATGCCAGAAAAGGGGGAGGATCAAATGAGGACGAGATTGAAGAGATTTCCAGGAGTCAAGGAGAGCTAAGACTACTTTATTTACCAATGCACAGGTGACAGCCTCCAGCAGGTACCCTTTGCCATATATGGGTCACACACAGGTGGGTTCAGGCACACATGCAGATCAGCACTCAGGCCACACAGTGGTAGGCATACAGGCATCTCAAACACACACACACACACACACACACACACACACACACACACACACGAATCTGAGTTCCTGACCTTAAAGTCATATATGTATTGAAATTCACAAAACTGCATTTTGCCAAAATAATTACATAACAGATTTCATATATATATATATATGTATATGATCTCAGCTATTTTGTGCTAACATGATGTTCAATGTCAGTCATGTTTTATATGACTCTCACTTGATACCCGTATCAGCAACATGTTGTCTAAACATAAATTTGTCCCTGTGACCTCTGTTCTCAACAAAGGTCCCTGTAGGAAAGCATATTCTGGTTCTAGGTCAGTCTGTACTCTGCTATTCTAAATAAAGTTTTATTAGTACACACTCATGCTTGCTGATTTAGGCAATATACATCAAGAGCTGCAGCAGGATGCCTGTGTGTTCTAGACTGGTTCCCATAGCCTTATTCTAATGAGCTGATTTTCAAGAACCAGCTTGTCACTTGGGCTGCAGACTGCTGCAGTATGTTACTGGCATTACTTGAGAAATTAAGGTCCTCCCAGGAGCCTCTTCCTGAGTAAGCCTGCACTGCTCACTGTAGAGGCCTTATTTCTTTCCTATGCCTAGAAAATCTTCATCTATTCTTTTCCAAAGTGGTTAGTGGTCTGCTAAGGATATACTCCAGACCAGCATGGCTTGATAACTCTAAGTGTGCAATACTGCCATGCATACGTTGGTAGTAACCAGCAGCTGTCCAATAGGACTTAAGACCCACTCAATAAGAGGAGAAGCATGTCTGTCACTAGAAACCTAGAAACCCAGCTAAATATTCAGAAGTCACACATCTTAATGGAGAATCTACACTCTCCACTATACTAAGGCAGCATAATCCTTCACTATAAATATTTGATCTTATACCCACAGATAAGTATACTCCTCACTTCCCATTATGGAAACTTCTTTTTGCAACAGATGGAGGAGACCATTACAGAAAAACACAGTCAAAATACAGAACTGTGGAGCTCAGTCACAATGCATAAAAAAAAATCCTGCACCTAATGCACCTAAGGCTCAGGGAACATTGCATAAGAGGGTGGAAAGATCGCGAGAGCCAGAGAGCCAGGGAGTTTGCTCTGAGACGGTCTTCTCGTCACATCAGAGCTACACCATAAAGCTCTACCGGCATCACTGACTAAACATGAGCTGAGTAAGGACAGCACTAGACATGCCAAGGTGGACGGGCAAGCTCATGGGACTCAACCCTACACAAAGAACCCTAGGTAACTCAGAGATGCTGCAAGTCAGAGGCCAGGGCACACCAGTTGGCTATCCAGCACCGATGTTCAGCCCTCGGAGCGCACGTGTAAGTAACTTTCTACAGACTGAGTGGTTTGCATTTAGGAATTTACACGTATACATGTATTAACAACAACCAAAGGCAATAGATGCCATCAGTTTGAAAGAGAGCAAGAGGACTCTACGGGAGGGTTTGGAGGGAGCAAGTAGGAAGGAGAAATGATGTATCGCATCATCTCCAAAGTAGGAGTGAAAAAGGATATAGCCCAAAGGACTTAATTGGCAATGAGAAGGATGTTAGATCAGATGCAGAGTGGCGAATGAGAGGCGGTGGCAGACTACAGGGAGCTCAAGACACATTTGCCTCCGCATCTCCAATTTCCCAGGGCTCCACGACCATGGCGGTCTAGTCAAGCAGCGGAGAATCTTCAACACCGGAGTGGATTTTCCAGGTAAGTTTGAGTTTCAGAGCTCAAGTTTATCTTAAGCCTTCTCTGGGCTGGGTCTCAGGATACCTGAACGAGTCCTGGGACAGACTGGCTCCTTGAGGTTGGAGCAAGCTGCATGGAGCAAAGGACAGCGTTTCTTTCACTTTCTCAGTCGCTTTTTGTGCTCCTGTGTGGTGTCCCACCTGGTACCCGTGTTCACTTTTTAGGACTTTCTGCCCAATCGTTTCTCAATAGACCTCAGCTGATGACAGGAAGTGGGAGGCTCCTGTTTTGAGGGGCGGCCTCAAGCCAGCTGAAGTGATTACACTGAGCTATATATGAAAAGCACTCATTTCCTTCATCATGGGGCCTCATTGAGAATCCTGGGAAGCAGAGAAAGGAAGAGGAACACTCCGTTATCAAAGGGAGCCAGCCCCCAAATTTACTTTCCTGGAGCTGTTATGCAAATTTCCAGCCTGAGGCTCTCAGGACACTTTGAAGATAAGAATCACACAGACTCCCACGGGAGGCTTCAAGGGGACTTCCCATCAGTCTGATTTACACGCCAAGGAAGAAAAGAGCAGGGAACAATAGCAGAAACCTCTCTCTGAAGGCTTGAAAGCCGGTATCTAACTGTGTTCCTCTCTTGCCTGGGGGAAATACAGCTTAGGAGCCTGCAGGTCAGACAGGGATGGGGTGGGACTTCCCTGGATGCATTTCAGATGTCCCTTAAGGTGTTCCCAGGGTTGTGTGTGTGTGTGTGTGTGTGTGTGTGTGTGTGTGTGTGTGTGTGTGTGTGGTGTGTTGGTATATGTTGAGTAACACTGAGGCAGGTTAGAAAGAGGGAAATGAACATGAGGGAAAAGTTGCCCCTCACTGTAGAGTTTGGAGGAAGCCTCTCTTGCCAGCTAATCAAGGATTCCGGCAGAGACCTTTCTCCCTTCCCAGTCGCATCCCTTCCCCGTCTCTCACTCATGTCAAACCTGTGCTTGAAACGTCCTTAGCAAGCTGCAGCCACCCTATGCTCCCAGGTAGGTGTGCCCCACTTTCCCTCAGACTCTAAGGCTTAGAACACTCTTGTTTCTAACGAACCCCGACTCCACTTCTTCAGGCTCACCCCCAGTTTCTTTTTGCGTTACAGTCAAGGATGGGGGACTGGCTGAGTTGGGGGTCACTAATAGGTTGGGGGGACTCCTCAGGCTGTTGCAGGAGTGCTTCTGTCCCCTGTGGTGCTGTTGACTCACTCACCCTTTGCTTTGTGGCCTCACAAGCTCAGGGACAATGTGGGACCGGAACACCACGGGTTGCTCAGCTCTAGTTTCAATTCACCAAAGCCAATGGTCTGGTGGTGACTTTTGTTGAACCAATAGCTTTTAATGGCTAGGGACCCCTGAAGGTGGGTGTCTTTGGTCTCAGGCACAGTCTTTGGAGGCTACAGTGCAAGCTGCCCCAAATTTCCAGACGCTTGCTAATTGTCCTCAGCCAGCACTCACAGAAGCCACGGCATTCCTAGCGAGCTCACTGCACCATCCCCCTTCTGCTCATTCTGTGTTGGGCAGGTTTCCTCCAGGTAGGTGGGGGAATATCCTAGCTCTGAGATTCAGCTGAGGTTCTCCGGGGTTAGAAAAGACCTGAAGGCATTAGGAGAGGGGGCAGAATCTCAGAGACAACTTAAAACTTCCAAAAGCTGGCGTTTCAGCACCCGTGAGCCCGTGTCACTACTTGGCACACAGGTGAGCCAGAGGAGCAGCAAGCTGAAGGGTAGCAGGAGGGTGGTCCACACAGCTAGGGTAGCAGGAGAGCGGTCCACACAGCTAGCCATTCCTTCCAGAGCCGAGGCTAATGAAAGCTAAAAGGAAAGCCTGGGACCATAAGTCTGGCTAGCCCTCTCCCATCTCAAACATCCATCCTGAGTTTGGGGCTACACACAAGACAAATTTTAGCTGACCCGAAATTAAAGTGAACAGTAATAAAATATGACTGATTCTTTTTTCTTGCTCTATTGGCCAGGAAGGAGAAGCATGGTTGCCAATGCCAAGGTTTACATCCTGCTGGGCAGAACACATTTCACCCACCCCCCTTGGTGAACCAAGACTGGATGCCCCTGTTTCTGTTTTGTTTTCCTCTATCAGTGTCCTCATGTTGACCTTAACCTCCAAGGTGTAACTTTATAATGATTAAAATCTCCCCCTTCCTTCAGGGAAGAGCTGCTAACTTCAGGCTGCCTCACCCGAGGGCCCAGATAAGTCTCCAGTTCATGGCAGCAGCGTGTGTGTGTGTGTGTGTGTGTGTGTGTGTGTGTGTCTCGCTCCCAGCTGTGTGGAAAAGAAAGGTAGCTGGGAATCTAAAGGCTGACTCAGGGAAAGAGGAATCCACAGACATTGGGAAGATAGTATCTGTCTAGTTAGGGAATTTTATTCAAATCTAGACCATTCTTAACACCTGGAACTGTGGGTTCAGGAGTCCTTGAGTTTTCATGGTGTTTCCATTTCTGTTTTATTAGGTATAGGAACTCAGGATGTGTGGAATTTTGCCCCTCCCTCTTTTTTTCTGTGAAGCAGATATAAATAGAATCTGTGCAGTTGTAATTCTTTGGAGACCCAAGGACAAGAGAAATCATGTCTGGGGACAGAGTTATTGGGAGGCCCTGCAGTAAGCCTCTCAGTGTGAACTGTACTGCTACCAAGACCATTGATTATATAGATTGTACATAGGCCATTAATGTTATTCTGAGAGAGTGGGGGAGGTACCCCGGGGTCCCATGACTCCTGGGGTCACGGGGCAGGGGAATCTTCCATTTCTTTTGCTCCTTCATTGGTTCATATTTTTGCTCCCCCCCCCTTCACTGTTCTACCCTGAGACTTTACAGTGATGGGACCTGAATTCATCTTCTTTAGCTGACAGCGTGGGAAGTTTCATCATAGACCTGACAGTCCAGTAAATGCCTTTGTCTGCATTTTATGAATAAATGGAGGGATGAGATGAAACTTGACTGTAGCTATCTGGAAGCACAGAACATTCCACAACCTTGGTCTCTCCGTGAAGGTCCCTTCAATCAGTTTTTGTTTTTTCTTATTCATCACCCTTCATACAGAAACCCAAACTAATATGAAATTGCTTTTGTGCTGTAACATTATTTGATATGTAATCTCTAATATCTGTCAAAACCTGCAAGATATATTCAGGTGGTAGACACAGATTGGATCCAGCACTTAAGCAGTGACAAATAACTATGGATGACAGGGGACTCAGAATGAGAGGGACAGAATGAACTTCAAGGGGAAGAGAAAAAAAACACTTTCCTTGGTGTGAGCCGTCACTTCCCTGAAGGCCTGTACGATGGACTGTGCAGCCACAGACTATGGGTCATGTAGATGGACTGTGGGCCGTGTGGTTAGAGTCCGTGGCCTATGTAGTCGGAGGCTCAGTCATAGACTGTGACTCATGCAGTCACAGGCTGTGTGCTATGCTGTCACAGACTGTGGTCCATGTACTCACAGGCTCTGGCTTTGCACTCATAGACTATGAGCCATGCAATTACAGGCTTTGGGCCAACTGGTCAGTGGTGTACGGTTGAATATTACCCTCTGCTGCTTATCACCACATAACTTTAATAAGGAATCCTAAACATTCGTACCTGAGTTTTCCCTTCTTTAAAGCCTATAAAGCCAATTCATAATTCTGAGTGGCTGTGCCCTCCACATGATGTACATCTATGGCATGCACCTTCCACATATGAGGTTTCAGGGAAGCTTGTCCGTCCTGGGGCAGGGGCAGGGAAGGGAAGGGTATGAAGAAAGGCCTCTTTTCTCCTGCCCTGGGGTTCATGTAGTGAAAGAATGGGTTGGCAAGGGAAAAGCAGACACATTTACTCGCCAAGTATTATGTGGAAAAGAAACGGAAACTCTGAGGATTCGGGCAAATCAGTTTGTTTTTATGACAGCCATGCAGAAGTGTCGCAGCCATGCAATGGGATCTATGCAAGGTGACAAACCAGGCAGGGGAGGTGTGTATCACAAGGCCTGCTTGTCCAGCTTCCTCTTGGTGTCTGTGTGTGGCACCGGGAGTGTAGTACCAGATAGTATTGGGAGAGAAGGGGGGGTGAAGAGGTCAGAGAGCGGCCCCGTTAGCTGCTTGTCCTGTTACTGTGACGAAACACATGATAAAAGGAACCAAAGAGAGAAAGCCATAGGCGTAGGCTTGTGAGGCAGCTGGCCACACCGTACACCCACACCCACGAACAGTCGAATGAACGCCGGTGCTCAGTGTTGCCTGCAGTCAGTCCAGGACCCCAGACCATGGGATAGTGCTAAGTTACACACATTCAGGGTAAGTCTACTTACTTCAATTAGCCCAATATAAAAAATAATCCCTCACAGATGCACCTGGGTTTTCTTATAAATCACACCAGGTTGACAGTAAAGAAAGACCACTCATTCCAGTGACTCGCCGATTCTGCTCTTTTCTCAGATGCCACGGTGCTAAAACTTTGGGGTATTTTGAGGTCATGACCTGTCAACAGTTTTCAAACTTGGGTCCTAGAGGCAAGGGTTCTTGACTTCTTAGATTGTTCATCTAAGTGCTCGGTGGTGTGAGAATTGAATGACAGGGGATTCCAAACCAAGCAGAATAAACATTGACACTCATTGGCCAGTTATAGGTCTTGACTTTTAAATAGCTTCAAGTGGCATAATTTCCATATCTTTAAAGTATGATTTTGTATAAGCACTTCATCCTGTCTACAACAAAGACATCAGGATCTAGAACATTCCGTTGCCTCAAGAGGCTCCTTCTTGATTCTTGATCATCAAGTCCTTCTGCCATTTGTCCCTTGAAAATCATTCACTGGCTTTCTTTCTCTCATGGTTTTGTCTCTTCTAGAATGAGATATTTGTCTTGATATCTTTCTTGCACAAATAAAACCTGTTTGGGGGTCAGAGAACGGAGCTTGCCACTATCTAACCATAGAGGTCTGTATAGAGAGAGACAGGAAGTGATGTAGTTGAGCAGAAACAGGATATAAG